ACGCCTATATATGTACATGTATGAAGCCAGTGGGGGGGGATGTATGTGCATGTGTGTGCATGGAGGGGGGCATATTCATGGCCATGTGGAGTGTGTGGGCCACTGTGGTCTGGCATGCTCTGCACAAGGGCCTCTTCCGGCCTTTGAGGGAGAATCGGATTCCCGGCTTCTGGCTGGGATGGCTTGTGGGATTTATTTCTGTCTTCATGCCCACTGAAGGCCTGAGTAATGGGAACATTTAAAGAAAACCAGAAATACATACGGAAGAGGCAGGCTGGCTAGGAACTCAACTCTAATACCCTGCCTGGTCCACAGCTGCATGAGCCCAAGGCCAGGTCTGAGTCTAGAAGGGAATAGCCTGGGATCCAGCATGTCCTCCCACATAACTCTGTGGAATGCCTACTTCTGCCAACTTAGAGCCATCTGGCGGGCAAGCTCACCACCGCACTGGGTTAACAGTAAGCAACGTGCTCAGGGCAAGGTGAGAGGGTGCCAAGTCAGCCTAGCCTGTGTATGGGCAAGTCCTTCCGGTCAGGTTTGCAGGAGGTCCCTATCTCTAGGTATCCTATGGCATGCTCATACACACACACACACACACACACACACACACACACACACACACACACCATACATGAAAGTCAACTCCACAGCTCAAGGAGGAGCAAGATTGGTGAACCTGGCAGGGCTGAGTTTATCCTTAGGGTTAGGACACTTGAAGCTCCAGACTGGCCTGCCTGGTCCCTGGGACCTGCCCTCCCCAGGGCACGGTCACCCGTGTTCTGGGTTCAGATTACCCTAACCCCATTCCAGATCATCTCTGCTGCCCAGCTACTTAACAGGGGACACAGGCCCATGGGAAAGTGAGGAGCTTCATGTGGTGGGGTGTCAAGCTATGTTGGTGGCCCCGGGGAGAGCAGGCAGTGCTGAAGGATGCATTAGGCAGCCAGTCTGGTGTCTCCTACTGCCACCCAGTGGCCATGTGAGGAAGTGGGGAATTACAGGCCCTGGCGACAAGAAGTCTCATCCTTTCTGTCTTGTCTTGGCTGAGTAGCCTCTTGGGGTTCTGGAGGTTCTGGGAAAAAGTGGTCTTTAACTTTTGCTTTTGTAATTTAAAGTGTGTGTGTGTGTGTGTGCGTGCGCGCGTGCGTGCGCGCGTGCGTGCGCGTGTAAGGGCTCTTGTGTGCTGTGAGTGTGGAGGTCAGAGGACACTAGTGGGAAGTAGTCAGTTCTCTACCATATGGGGCCCTGATTGAAGCCAGGCTGTCAAGCTTGAGCACTCCCCTTCAGCTGCTCATCCTCCCCATCCCCCCACCCCGCCCTGCTTGAGACAAGGATTTACACTAGCTCAGGCTGTCTCAGAACCCATGTAAAGCCCTGCCTGGCCTTGAACTCACAGAAATCTTTCTACCTTAGACTCTTAAGTGATGAGATTACTGGCATAAGCGACAAAACATTTGTTCTGTTTTTAAATAAATTTTAGGAGCTGGGGAGATGACTGAGGGGTTAAGAGCCCTAGCTGTTCTCTCAGAGGACCCAGCTCAATTTCCAGCACCCACACCGGGGCTCACAACCACCTGTAACTCCATTTTCAGTGGATCTGATAACCTCTCGTGGCCTTGTCAGGCACAGGCTCTTGGTTATACTCTTCAGTATGTAATATACTTTTGTCCTTTGATGCCTGTGAACTATGACACTTCATTCCATTCCTGGCACTTACTTAACATGCCCTCTGTCAGTCTTGCTCAACAGTCAGCCTTACTGATCTTTCCGAAAGACGCCAGTCTATTTGCTGTTCCCTCCACATCCCTGACCAAGCATTGCTGGCTGCCTTCCTTTCACTCCTGGGCAATGTGCCTAGCTCAAATCACCAGGGTTCCCTCCTTACACCCTGCAGCTCACAGGAGCCCTGATACACTGATGACCAACTGGAAGGGAAAGTGAGTGGGACTTGAGGTGAGCACAGATGCCACATGAGGAGGCAAAGCAGGGCTGGGGGAGGTCACACAATAGGGACTCACACCCCTGATGGCTCCAAGTGTGCATGCATGTGTTATCGCCTCTATGAACATTCCTGGCCTGTCTCCTGGTATGCACGTATAACAGGTCACCAGGACACTAAGGGTCAGAGTAAACACACGACTTCCAGAAGTGGCCTCATGATGGGCTGCCACCTCATGCAAACCTCCTGACCCCCACACCCGGCACATCAGTGTAGCTCTGAAGACTTGTGTCTGCAGGATCCACTGCACTAATGTTACTCCAGCCATCTCTGCTGCTTTTTGCCAATCCTGTGCTCACCAGAGCCCTGCTTGTCCCCTTTCCTTCCGATCTGGGGTTGGGCTTTTCTCTTCTGAGACACCATATCCCTATAGCCCAGGCTTCAACTTCTTGCCTCAATCCAAGAGACCTGGGGTTTCGGGTGTGTAATACCATTCTGAGCTCACTTTCAAGATTTCTAATCAGCTCTTACATCTAATTCTTGAGTTATGGGGGATGGGACCCCTTATTTCTCTAATAATAAAACAGACCCATTTTATGGTTACTGTTCTCAGCTTCCTTGGCTATAGATCTCCCTTTGGTTATAACCAACCACCTGTAACTCCAGTTCCAGGGGATGTGATACCCTCCTCTGGCCTCCATGAACACCAGTCATAGGTGTGGTACAGACATATATGCAGGCAAAACACATAAAGATTAATGAATCCCAGTCTACCCACTGTTAGATTATTGGCTACTTTTATTTATTTTTTTAATTTTAGTTTTTTGAGACCAGGCTGGCCTTGAACTCACAGAGATCCGCTTGCCTCTGCCTCCCAAGTGCTGGGATTAAAGGCCTGCGCTACCACCTCTCAGCCAGATTATTGGCTGTTCTTTTCGGAACTAGACTTTAAATTTTTAAAATGAGGGCTGGGCATGGTGGCACACGCCTTTAGTCCCAGCACTTGGGAAACAGAGGCCAGCCTGATCTCAAAAGCAAGTACCAAGACTGCCAAGGCTACATTGAGAAATCCTGTCTCAAAAAACCAAACATTTAAAAATGAGATATGTGTGTGTGTACGAATGCATGCCATGTGCATGCATCCCCCACCCCACGCCCCAGCTGCATGCCCCTGTGAGCTCAGACGTCAGATAATGAGCAGGGGAATCAAATCCACAATGACTCTGGGCATCAGGTTTAATGGCAAGTGCCTTTTCCTGTTGAGCCTTTTACTGTCTCTCCCTCTTCCCTTTTGTAAGACAGGGTTCTCACGGAGTCTAGGTTGGCCTTTGTTACCACACCTATTTCATGAGGGGACACAGAGTGAATCCAGGATCCAGGACTTTGTGCACATTAAGCAATCACTGTTAACAACTGAGGTACACATCCCCAGACAATTTTTTTCCAAAGTTGGGGCCTCACTGTGTAGCTCAGCCAGTCTTTTTTTTTTTTTTAAAGATGTACTTATTTATCATGTTCTGTTTGCATGCATGCCTGCAGGCCAGAAGAGGGCACCAGACCTCACTACAGACCTCACTACAGATACATGTGAGACCACAATGTTTTGGCTGGGAATTGAACTCAGGACCTCTGGGAGGGCAGCCAGTGCTCTGAACCACTGAGCCATGTGTCCAGTACCCTGGGCAGACTTTCCACTCCTGCCCCAGACTCCCAACATGCCTGTCAAAGCACCAGAATTTCATTCTTGTGATTCTAGTCCAAATGCTATCAGCATGGCAGTTTTTGTTTTCCTCTTTCCTTATCGGGCAGTTTCTTGGTCAAGTCCCCAAAGGTCACAGACTGAGACGTTCCACTTTTGTTAGCTTTCTGAGCAGTAGTCTAGCTCTAGGCTGGAGCTGCAGGAGTTCCCAGTCTGACTCCAGCATCACAAACCAGCTTCCTGTTTGCCACTGAGATCCCAGATGGAATGGGGAGCCCTCAACCTTCATTCCTACCCCTGCTCCTGCCTGGCCAAGCTGGTCTGTCTCCAGAGGGAGCCAGAACCCCAGGCTGTCTGACTACTCAGTGCCTTGCCTGGCACTCATCAGTGACCTCGCTCTCACTCCGAGCCACTCAGACCTAACAGTTGTCTCTTAACCATCCCTTCTTCTCCTACATCTCCTCTCCCACCTCTCTTGACTCCCACCCCATGCCACTCCCAACCATCCTTTCTCTCCTTTCTGAGACAGGGTTCTGTAGTTTAGGATGACCTCAAACTCATGTAGCTCAGCATGACCTTGAACTCCTGACCCCTCCTTCCTGAGTGTGGGGATTGCAGGCTCCGCTGTCAGATTCACAACTTTCCTTTAGAGGATCTCACTTACTGGTTGGGTGTCCCTGCCGTGTGCACATATCCACTTCAGGTCCATGACCTAAGTGTCCAGCACTGCCTCCCAAAGCTGGGCCACTCTGTGTCAGAAAACCCACACTGAATGAGTCACGGCTGGGAGGAAGCCCTAAAATAAAGTGCAGGTGCAATCTCCTGGAGGGGAAGCTCCGATGCTACACCTAGAGTCAGTGTCAACCCCGCCAGTCTGTCATCATCAGCTGAGGCTCCCAGCTCGGCCAGGACCACAGGCTCCAAGATCACAGCCTGACTTCTAACAGAACAGACTCCTGTCAGGGAACCCACAGCTCTGGGAAACAGTGTAGCGGGCTCAAACCTGTGGTTCTATGTGGGATCAGAGCCTGCCCTCCTCCCTCTCACACTGAGGCTGTGAGAGGGTCTCTGCAGTGGATGTGGGTCTCTGCGGTGTTCCTATAGACTACTACAGGGCTCAGGGATGTAGGGGTGCTGTGAGGTCCCAAGAGGACACTCTGTCCCTGTGTCTATGGCCTAAGGGTTCTGAGATGACCACTGACTGACCAGAGACTTGGAGCCAGAGGTCAGCCTTGGCCTCTGCCCACCCCTCCTGCCTTAACAAAGCTGGCCCAACGCAGAGGTAATAAACACACTGAGCATCACCTCTGCATTCTAAGTCCAGACCCAGAGCATCTAGTAGACAGGAAATGATGACAGTCCTCTACTACATGGGAGTTTATTTGTCTCTATTTCCAGAACTTAAAAAAAAAAAAAAAAGCTCAATATACATACTTATGTACAAACCTGGAGACAAGCTGGTCTCCCCCCATACAGGCTGCGACCTGACAGGGCTGGCTTAGTCCCTGAGGCCAGGAAGTGCTGGCCAGCCTAAACCCACCCTCGCCTAAGACCATCTTCCCGCAGGACATATGTGCTGAACAAACGTGACGCGTAGAACACCTCAGTCAGAGTCACAGGCCTCTTGTCCAGTGGTGGCATCCACTGCAGAGGCCAGGCTGTCTTCCTGGCCTTTTAGTCGTTCACCTGAGAGGGGAGCAAACAAGTGTTAAAAGGCCCTGTGCTTAAGCCACCACGTTGAGGGCAGGACCCCGCAGGCCAGACGGCACTTACGGATCAGCTCAGCGATGGCTCTCTGGGTCCGCTTTTCTAGTTTCTCCAACTTCTTGGCCACATCTCTCTTGAGATCCCTGGAAGAGGGAAGAGGGGGACAGGGAAGCTAAGGGCTTGCATGGTGTGGCCCTGGGACCTCAGCATTTAGACCCTCAGATGTCTAGGGGGCTGCTCAGGGGACACTGCTTTCTCTGACCTTCTAGGCCTCCAAAGTCCACCATTCTTCCCAGGTCCACTGAGCTAATGAAGGGGGTGTGCACTACAGACCCAGCCTCGGGAGAAGACTGAGACACAATGGCCCTGTTCCATCTCCTGCCTCAGCCACCGCCCCCCTCCTGGGGCTTCCAGATGGGCACTGAGAACCTGAGTTCCCTGGTTCTGCCATTCCTACAACACACAGCTCATGCCCGTTACATTGAGTGAAAGCACTGTAGCAGGTGCTGTGTCCACAGGGACCGGCAGGCAAGGAAACCAACCTTGACCTCTGGCCCAAGGCATGGAGTTGCACGCTGCAGCCCAAGGCATGGAGTTGCACGCTGCAGCCGAAGCGCCCTCCCTCACTATTTTCTCAGCTCACAGGGCCTTGCTGTTGTGGAATATTCCTTTACACCCTGTGACCATGTGTCATGGCAATTGGTTTAGTAAAGAGCTGAATGGTCAATGGCTAGACAGGAAGAGGTTAGGCAGGACTTCTGGGGACAGCGTGCGGGGTGGGGTGGGGTGGGGGAGAGAAGGCAGAGTTGTCAGCTGGACGCAGAGGAAGCAGACACATGGGAAGAGAGGTAAAAGCCATGTGACATCATGTAGATGAATGGAAATGGGTTAATTTAAGCTATAAGAGCTAGTTAAAAACAAGCCTAAGATAAGGCCAAGCTTTCATAATTAAACAAATCTCCATGCCATTTTTTTGTGAGCTGGCAGCCCAAGTCCGCCTATGCTCTGCAGGCTTTCGGACCTCAAGAGATTGGGTGCCCCATTTTACAGTCAAAACAGGGACATAAACCCTGTCTGCTTGTCCACCCACTCTGCTCACTGTGGTCTCTTGAGTACAAAGGAGTGAGCTGCTCGGACGGGGGCCAGGGCCCCACAGAGGGTTTGAAGGGATAGCTGCTCTCCCGTCCCTCTACCCTGTGCCATCATTCACGCCTTGCCTAGCCTTTGCCTCTGACTCTCGTGAAGAGCTATGCCTGCACTGCTTGTCCCCTACCTGTCCTTGGCTGTCCTCCCAGCAGAGGCCCGTGACACGCAGCAAACACCACCACCCCGCAAAGAGCCTGCACGGACAACACTTACTTACCAATCAGGTTTCCGGGGTGCCAGGTTGGCCAGGTCCTAGGGAGACAGGAGACAACTCATCAGGGCCAAGGCCCAGCCGCAGGGGAGTGGAGAGACGGGCACAGAGGTGAACTAAAATGAAGGCAGGCAAAGGGGTGGGACCACCCAGGCACTCACCACTTCCTCGATGACGGGCTCTGGCTTGGCTGCCTCTAGCTGCTCCTTCACCTTCTCCTCCACTAGAGGGTGCAAGAACAACACGGGCCTGAGGGAAAGGGCCTGCCACGCCACAGTGACAGCCTAAGTGGCCCCAGGGAGGGGGAAGAACCTCAAGCTTCTTGTTCCTCCCTCTCTCCTTGTCTTGGGCTCAACCGCAGCTCTGCCAGAGGCCTGGTTTCCCAGGTTGAGGGCAGACCCCAGGGCCTGGAAAGGGACAGCAGCAGCCTGTAGCTGGAGTGGACAGGCCCAGACTTGACAGTCCCGGCAGCGGAAACGGGAGGTTGCTGTGTACATGGGAAGTGTGGCATTAAAAGCGAAGGTCTAGGTCCTGCCTGGCCAGAGTCTGGGTGGCTTATCTTCCCATCCATGCCTCCTCAGACTTACACTGACAGGCGCCACCTGTCTCTACCAAGTCATTAGGCCTGTGGGTGGCCCCTTCTGGGGACAGACGTCAGAAACACTAATAACGATGGGCCTTTGGCCCTGTCTCCAGGGAAGTGTCTTCCCGTTCTTCAGTTCTCTTGCCAGACAGAAGTCCTGAGTGGCCTCCTGGTAGAGGCAAGGGGCCAGTTGCTCATGCAGCCCCTACCTTGTGGGGCGTCCTCACCCGATCTGCCATTGCTCGCTCCACCAGGAGGGGAGTAGACTAGCAACAAAGATGTCTGGGTTTTTGATGAGGTGGGTCTCTGTGAGCTCAAGCCCAGCCTGGTGTACATAGTGAGCTCCACATGAGAGCCTGGCTTAAAACAATCAACACAAGCAGATTCTTCAGGACAGAGGAGCGCTCTGCTGCTGTGGCCAGGAGGCCCCTGTTCACACTGTTGTCTCAGGCTGTACCATGGCACGGGGAAAGCTGGGCTGAGCCCCTTTGGCCTGTGTTGCTGCTGGCTGTTCTGTGGAGTGTCTCTACAGTCAGCCTCTTTGGGGGTCTTCCCAGGGGCACAGGACTCAATGCCTTGCCCTGTTGCTCAAGATCACTTCTATTCCCCATGCCCTGAGAGTTCGTGGCCCCCTCCAGGATGGCAAGTGCAAGGGGCTTCTTTCTTGCCCTCATGGCCCCTGAGGAGGTCCTCAAGTGTCCCAGGAACATGGTCTCTGGCTCAATAGGGGCAGCTCTTTTCTCTGAGGGTGATCATGGGATGTAGGGGGTAAAGGGTAAACCATGTACCTGCAACTGGTTTGGCCTGGGGGACCCTCCTCCTCTTCAGGCCCTCATCCTCTGGGACGTAGTTCCGAAGCCTGAGTCCCCTATGAGAGCAGAGCACAGGCAGCCCTTAAGTGCAGGAGTGGGGTGGGGTGGGGTGGGTGCTTCTCATTTGCCTCCCACAGCTGGCAAGCTCTGAGTTCCTTCCTATCTGTCTGGAGATGGTCAAATGCAGAGAAGCAACACTTAAGCCTCAGCCCCTCCTTCACATGTTCCCGAGGCTGGGGCCAGGGTGGCTGGGAACGTTTGCTAGTACCCATCTGACCGTGATGGCAGCGGAGGGTGACTGCACATCTGAGAGCAAGTCTACACCAGAGCTCCTGGGGCGAGTCACCCCAGAAAGAGAAAGCCCTCCATACCTGCTCTCCAATCCCAGCTGCCTTCTACAGAGCCTGGAGTTAATGTATGTCACACAGGCACCTTTAGTGGGAAGGGTCTGTGTGTACGGGTCAAGGATGTGTGGCTGAGTGGCATGAAGGTGTGTGTATATGCGCACGCACGTGCGTGCGTGTGTGCGCGTGCGTGCATGTGTGACACACAGAGGCAGTGTGATTTGCCAAGATTCCAGGGGGTGACTTCTGGGCCAGAGGCTGTAATGGATGGGACCGAAATGCAGGAGAAACTAGATCTGCTCCATACCTGATGGGAGTGGCCACAAAGGCCACGGGGGCAGGCAGACCCCACATAGGCTAGGTGAGACGGAAGCTCATGCCCTGAAAGGCCTTTTGAATGCAGTTAGGAAGACCCAAACCTGGGGGTGTGGAGTCACAGGGGCAGAATCACCCAGGCCTTGCAGCCCTCTGCAGGCTGCCTCCCAGCTCAGCAGCCCCTGGGAAGAGGGGGCCCTGGATACACAACGGGGCAACAAGGTGAGGGTCCCTGGGGGGCGGCTAGGCTTTAAGATGGGAGGTGTGGACAGCAGACAGAGCCCTAGACGGGACACAGGCAGCGGTAACACCTGTTTTCCCCACTCTATTTTGGGTCCTTGAACTCTGGCCCCTCACGAAGTCCTAGGTTTCCAGACAGCTTTCTAACTGTGAGACCTCTGCCTAGATTTGGTGAAAGCGCCGGTGGCTTCTCCAGTCCCTGAGAGGGCAAGCCATTGCACAGGTGTGGTACATGATGCCGCTGTGACCCTGGAGCCCCACCTGCCGCTGTGACCCTGGAGCCCCACCCGCGCCCTGCTCCCAGCTCACATGCCAACACACTGCCTCCTCCCTTCTGCCAGGGCCCGGGGCTGGGCTAACCCCGGGAGAGCGGTCCCCACAAGGCCCATCCCACACTCCCAGGGGACCCTGTCCCTAACCCTGCCCAGGCCTGCCGTGAGCAGCAGGCCACTGGGCCACAGTGAGAAAGTGGAGCTTACTGGCTACCATGGCTTTTGTTCACTACAGGGTGGAGAGAAAAGAGGAAGAGAAACTGGGCGTGGGAAGAAAACGGCAGGGATTAGTGAAAGGGAACAAACACCCCCAAGCCCACAGCTAGATCCAGGTTCCACGGTTAATGACAAGAGGGGAGTCTGCAGCAAGAAGCCCCCTCTGCAGCCCCAGGTCGGCGAGGGAAAAGGCAGAGTAGTAAGAGAGCTGGGCCCACTTCCCAGCCCCTCTTGAGAGCCCTGCATGTGCGGGCATGCATCACTCATAAGCGGCAAGGGCATCTAGGCCCTTGATGTGAGAGGTCCCCTTAAGGCCTTGCTTTCCAGGCAATGAAGATGGAGGCTGAAGGCTAGGTTCAAGTCTTCACCTAGCCCGAACAGCTGTCCCCACCCACTGCCCCAGGGCAGGAGTCTCTGGGAAAGAACCACTGGGGCTTTTCTAAGCAGGTCTAAGATTTAATTCCCTTTCCACAAACAACTCAACAAACCTGACCACAGATACAATTTAAACATCCGATGACTTGGAGAATTGCCAAGGTGATAGGATCGTGCGTGCGTGCGTGCGTGCGTGCGTGCGCGTGTGTGTGTGTGTACATGCACCACAGAAGTCAGAAGTCAGAGGATAACTTGTAGGAATCAGTTCTCTCCTACATAGGCCCCAGGACTGAACTCAGGTTGTCAGACTTGGCGGCAAGCACCTTTGGCCCGAGACTTCTTTCAATTTTTAAAATGAGCCTCATGTATCCCACCTGGCCCTGAACACCTGTCTCCAACTCCTAAGTGCTAAGATAACAGGCCTGTTACACCACAACTAATTTTATTTTATTATTTTTTTTAAGTTTCATTTATTTATGTATAGCATTCTGCCTGCATGTATGCCTACGGGTCAGAAGAGGGCACCAGATCTCATTATGGATGGTTGTGAGCCACCACGTGAACTCAGGACCTCTGGAAGAGCAGATAGTGCTCTTAACCTCTGAGCCATGTCTCCAGCACCCCCACACCCAGTTTTAATCACAGGGTACCAATGAGATGACAAGATTTACATATTTATAAACAGAATACCAGAAATGCATTTAAAAGACACAGCGACTGAGTTTTGAAGACAGTTTTGCTCTGTAGCACAGGCTAGCTCTCAACTGGAGATCTTGCCTTAGCTTCTCAAGTGCTGGTGGGATGCACCACCATGCCCTGCAATGATGAATGTTTCAGACAGACTCATTCAGAATTCAGTGAGATGGGCTGGAGAGTTGGCTCAGTGGTGAAGGGCATGTTGCTCTGGTAGAAGCCCCACCTTCCGTTTCCGGTAACAGCGTGGTAGCTCACACCATCAGTAAGTCCAGTTCAAGGGAATCTGACACTCTTCTGACCTCCCTGGGCACTGCCCTCAAGTGATGCATACATACGCACACATGAGCAATCGTCAAACAACCGTTTTCTTTAGAAAACTGTGAGCTCCAGGCTGGGGTTGTAGCTCAGCCGGGTGAGCGCTTGACCAGCCTTGGATTCAATCTCTAGTATGCACAAACCAAGCATAGCGGTGCAAACCTGTGACCCTTGAGTTCAGCTAGGCTGGGACATGCTAAATACTGTCACAAACAAACAAGAAAAACCATGAACTTCAAAGAAAAGGATATGCAGGCAAACCATCGCCAGATTACTAAAAGCCAGCAAGAGAGAAACAAATTAAAGAGATCCACTCTTCAGTGAAGAAACTGAAAGCGACAGCATGGAAAACCAAGGCAGTGAAGCGTGGGCATGGAGGTGCAGGCCTGTAATCTCAACAGTTAGAAGGCTGAGGCGGGAAGACTCAATTCTAGACAGCCTCGCTGCACAGTAAGACCCATTTCTTCTTAACACAAACACCCCCGCCCCAAAGTAAAGCAAATCAAAACAAAAAGTAAAATATAAAACACACATGGTCCTGATCATCTACAATCCTAGGACTTAGTTAGAGGAGGATGGATTAGGGTTCAAGGCTAGCCTGGGCTACAAAGTAAGGATAGTCCAAAGGGCAGAGAGAGTAACACATAGTATCTGAGTGTCCTGAGGCCTACACTGTACAGGAAATATAAAACTACTACTACTTTTTAATAACCTGCTTTTTAGAACATTTCTTAAGAATGCCTGCATGCTGCCCTCCCTAAAAGAAAGGGAATGGAGACTACATTAACAAGGTAACAGAAAAAGGAAACAGAAAGGGACAAAAAGTAAAATGCCGGGGTCTCAGACAGCAAGCCCCGCTTGCCTCCCAGGCCTTCCCTTTACAGCTGAGCAGCCCTCCTTCTGAATGCTGGGTGTGGTGGGACAAAGTGCCAGCCGGACTAGCAAGGCAAGCCACCGCCTACCACCTTCTTAGTGGGCCAGGGAATGCTGAGTGCCTGTACTCACACGGGGAAGCCATTCTTCTGGGGATCTGGGGAGCCAAATGCTAGCTCTGCCTCCCCCTCCCCCTCCCCCTGCTGGGAAAGAGGGGTCTAGAGCCCTGGGCTTTAACAGTGTGACCTGGGCCCAAGTCTCAGTTTTGATGCTTTTGAGACATGGACTACCATCAACATCCACATGGACGCCAAGGTCATCCATCTCTCCTGAGGTCATCTGAGCTGACTACAGCAGGGTCCTCTAGAACAGACATCTCATCTCCAGGGGACTGCTCCAGAAGCTTTGTCCCTGAGAGATCCACCTGTCAGGACAGAAACAAAAGAGACCCACAACATGAGGGACAAAGCCTTGTGTGCAGCTGCAAAAGGCCACCCAGCACACAAAGGCATGGCCTGCCAAGGCCCCTCAGTAACCCCACAGCCAGCAAATGGAGAAGACAGAAAATGGTCTTTGTGCTGTCCATAGAGCAGCAGGGTCACCAGGACACTCTCCGGTAGCTGAGGCTCAGCCAAAGGGCCTCTTCCCTCCTTTCTACCTGTGTGTCGCTCTGTTTGTCTGGCCTCTACCAGCTTGCTATCAGTTACTAATGAGCTCTGGAAACTGGGCCAGCCAGGAGCTGGGCTTCTCTTAATGGTCACCGCGGCCCTTTCTGCTGGGAACTGGGTATAAAGCTGCCTAGGACTGGAGCTTACACAGGGAAAGGGGAGGATGGATCCAGTAGGGCCCTTCCTACGCCTGAGACAATGGCAGGGCAAATGCTCACATGGAGTGTGGGGTGATCCCCAAGACCCAGCTCTTAAGTAGCAGAAGATAAAGGTGTGGGAGACAGGCTAGGGGAGAGCCAGATCTGTTTGGAGTTAACAGAACAAGCTATAGCCTGTCAGAGCCCCTTGCTGGAGCTACCCCCTCTGCCCCTGCCCCTGCCCCTGCCCCTGCCCCCACCTCCGCCTCCGCCTCCCGAGTACTGGGATTAAAGGCGAGCACCACCAACGCCTGACTTTTACACATTCTCTTAAGGCTTTCTCAGATCCCCACACTGTTCCAATGGAAGAATGTCACGTGGCATGGTCAAAGTGACAAAGACACTCTCTATGGCCTTTTTAGAATGAACACCACGACACCCCGCAAGAGGTGGTGGTGTACTGATCAACGGTGTGTGGACATAAGCCTGCCGGGAAGGATGTGTCTACCCAGGAAAGGTCTACCCATGGAAAGAGCTATGATGCCAGCCCTAGAAGCAGACTCCCAACTTAGAAGCCAGGAGTCAAGAAAGGTATTTCTCGGGGC